AATTTCAACTTAATAATTCATACTGAAAATGTATTCCCTATCTTTAAAAAATGTACCACTGTATATGAAAGCTTCAAATTTTTACAGCAACTCTTTACTAAGTTGGCATTAATATTTTTTTTAAATTTAAGCTTTATTTAGCATTTGAAAATATTTCCTTCATTTCCCCAACACAGCAGACAAGTGAAAGTCCTGTTAAGAGCCTGAAGGCCCAGCATCGAGGTACAGCTGTCTTCCTGCGGTGGGCACAGGACTTGAGGCAGGATTGAGGTTGGCTTCCCTGCTAGGCTCAGATGACGCAGAAAGGAAAGAAAGTCTCCTTCTGAGCATCAGGAGCCAGGCATCAACTCACAAGCAAGACAGAGACACATCCTCCTGGGGACTGGTGCCTGACAGGCCATGGGGGAGGAAGGTCAGTGTGTTCTCTCTTCAGCAGGTGGCTTAGCACTTTCTGGTGAAAAAATGAGCAGAAGTACGCTGAGACATTCAGTTGAGGTCACCTTCCTTTCAGGAGCATTCTGTCTGCACAATAGTGAGATACCTGAAATCCACAGAATTCATCAAAACCCTCCTGACTGCAAACTGAAGGTGTCTCCCAAGGCAGACTGGGGGTAGAGATGATGATTACAACTCAGTGGGCCTCTTCTTCCATGGAGCAGCAGCCAGAGAAGAAGCTGGTATTGCTGGCCAGAGCACGCTTCTTTTTCTTCCTTGGGGCCTTGTCTTCTTGGGATTCTGTTACTCTGGGTTTGGGCTCAGGGACATCAAAGGAAGAATGAGGCAGAGCAGACTTCTGTGATAGTGCCTGCTCCCCATCCTGCATCTTGTTCAGGATCTTACTACTGGGAGTGGCACAGACAGGGCTGAAGAAGCTCAATCCTGGGATCACTTCTGTGGGATCTTCTAGTATGAAGGTGGCTTCAGATTCTGGGGTCCTCTCCATAGTGCCCAGACTCTGCTGGCTTTGTTGGCGGTTCCGACACTTTGTGGAGTTGCAGCCGCAGGCCACTCCACAGTCCAGCTTGTGCTTCCTGCATCCACACTGCTTGTTCCTACACCAGCCTTTGCAGAAACACCGATGAATGTTCTTCCTGGATACCTTAGTTAACTTTGATGGCTTCCATTCCTCATCATCCCCACCATTGCTGGAGACATTATTATCATCATCCATAGACTGCTCGGAATAATAGTTTAGATCCTCCATGTCCATGCTTTGCTCCAGGAACTTTGCTTTACCATGGGAAGGCTTTGGCTTAGGTGGCATATATTCAAAGGAAGAGTCTGCACAGAGGGTAACACCCTCAGGAACATCAAGAGTCTGCCTACTGGCTGCTTGAAGGAGGTTCAGTTTCTGCTTGATTTTCTCATTTTCCTGGAGAAGCCTCTGGTTCTGCTTGCATACTTCCTGCATCTTCTTCAGCTCTTGATCCTGACAGTGCAGTGTGCTCAGCAGCTGTTGCTCTTTCTCGCTGCCTGTCTCCCCCAGCTGCTTCTCTGCGGCTTGGCTTTGCTGCAGCTGGCCGAGAAGGTACAGCACCTTCTCTTGGTGCTGTTGCTCCACTCTGACCAGTTCATCTTGAAACTCTGTCTTTATCTCAGCAAAATGATTCCGTTCCTCAAATAGCATCTTCTGCATGTCAGTACAGCTGGCCTTACTCCGTGTCAGGCTGTTTTCAAGACTGCTGACCTGCATTTTGGAGGAGACCAGTTCTCCAATTAAGTATTTCAGGGCACACTTGGCTTCCAGAATTGTGGCGATATTCTCCCAGCGTTTTTTGGACCTGTCTTCACTTTCCGCATGTAGGAGCTTCTGTTGGATGTCAGCAATCTGAGCACTCCGGAGCTTTATTTCAGTCTGTAGGCTTTCAACCTGTTTTGTAATAGAATCCTCTGACACTGAAGCCTGAGCAGGCATTTCAGCAAGTGAGAAAGTGCGCCTTTGAAGTTTAGGAGGTGGATTCTCCTCGAATTCTTTTTTTGATTTAAGCTGAGCCAGGTCCTGAGCCAGGATCTTTCTGTCTCGAAGGAGGTCATTCAAGTGGCCTTTGGCTTCCTCAATACTGACCATAACCTCAATTTCATTTCCAAGCCAGTTTCTCACGTGCACTGCTGTGCCTTCCATTTTCCGGCTCTGAGTCTCTTTTCTCCTGTCTGCAGCCTCCTGCTGCTTCTGGAGAGCATCTTTGAGACGCTTGTTGGCAGCTGCTGCCTCCTCAGTTTTACGCTTCAGCACGCTGGACTGCTTCTGGAAGTTTCTTTCGAGTTTGAGAAGTTCATATTGTCTCTTACGGTCTTGTTCTTTCAACTGGATCACTTCTTTGTCTTTTTGTTGCTTCCACTGTCTAAACTTCTCAGCATCCTCCTTCATCTGGTGCAGTAGCTGTACTCGCTGGTTCTTCATCATCACTATCTCCTGGTTCAGTTTAGTCACAGTATGCTCTGTGGATTCCTTCATTTTCAGAAGCTTGAACTGTTCATGTAGCTTTTTCTTCAAATCAGCTATTTGACTTTCAAGCTCTTGGAGACGTTTGCGTCGGCGCTCGCTCAACTTGGCCTGGTTGACATCTTTCTTTGCTGTCTGGAGTTCAAGAATCAAGGCTTCCTTTTGTTTTTGCAGATCTGCGACTTCCAATTCTAGATTTTTTATGTTATCCTGGTACAGGAATTGAATGGGGTGGAGTTGCTTGTCATTCTGTGTCATCTTCCTGGCCAAGGCCTCTTTCAGTGCTAGGGCTTTGTTCAACTCAATCAGCTGCTTTGACATCTGAGCCTGCCGCAGAGCATGATGGGTGGTGAAAGCATCAGAAGACCTGTCGCTAGTTTCTGGACTGGTTTGCACTTGAGCTTTGATCTCTACTGCATTATCAATGACTGTAGCTATGCAAGGTACAGTTTCATGCGATAGTTGAATAATCATTTGCTGCAGATTATGAATTATATCTACATTTTCTTTCAATTCCTGGTCTTTCAGATTCTTTACCAGTTTCTGAAGATCCAGTTTGCAGGCTTCATGCTGCCTGAGCTCTTCTAGTTTCATGTTCAGCTTTTCATTTGCTTGTTCTATCAAAATGATCCTCTCCAGCATCTGCATGGTCTCACCGGTTGCCTCATTCAGGCTATGACTTAACTTTTCATTCTCCTCTACCAGGGACTGGTTCTTTTCTATCAGGGATTGTAGATTCTCTGATGGTTCCACACATGTAGATCCAGGTGGGGCACCTCCCTGGGCTTGCAGCAACAAGACCTGAAGCTGCTGTACCTGTTGCTTAAGATGATTAAGTTCAGCTGTCTGGGGATCAATGTTAATGACAGGTTTGTTTTTTATTTTTCTTGCTCTGTCAGCATAACGAAGGGTATTTAATGTTTCCTCTAGATTAGAATCAGCAGGGCTTACACAGGCTATCATAAGTGTGTGGCTGTTACCTCCTAGAGAATCTTGAAGCAGCCGAGTCAGTTTGGAATCTCTGTAAGGCACAAAACTTCCCTTCCTGTCATCTCTAAGTGCATGGATTACGTTTCCCAAGCACAGGAGGCCTCGGTTAATACTAATACCCTCTTTTAGGCGGTCCCCTTCAGCTTTGGTTTTCTTCTGTCTTTCTGATCCAGCAAGATCTACAAGATGCAGCTTGGAGTGAAAGCTACTATTCTTGTCATTTTTCTTTTTCTGCTCTATGGATATTGTGAAGATAGCATGAGATCGGGAGGACTGGGAGTTCATGGCTGTGGAAGCCACAGTCCTACAGTTGTTGCCCTGTTCCAAACAGGAAACAGTGTCCATGGCAACTACAACAGTCTTTTCGGTGAGCCCTATCATCTTTATGCCTTCCTTGGGATCTTCTCGGATATTTATGTGGGAGGCTTTCTCTTGAGACAGGCAGAGCAGATCTAAAACTTCTTCATTGTAAATCTCCAGGTAAGATACTTTCAGAGCAAATTCAGTGTCCCTCTTTTCCTCAATCTTTTTGAAGAGCAGTTTTATAACCCTAGGAATGATCCCAACAGTGGGGTCATTCTCTTGCTCGGCAGTGTATGTACCTCCCATTGAATACGTTTTTCCAGAGCCAGTCTGCCCATAGGCCAGAATGGTCGCATTGTATCCTCCAAGTACATCTTTTATGAGTGGTGCTACCGCTGTATTGAAGACCTCTTCCTGTTCGGTAGAGGGGTCAAATACAAAATCGTAGGTAAAGCATTTGTCATTACCGACCAGCACCTGAGGCTCCCCTGGAACGAAAGAAAGGCACATGTGACAACCCTCACTGATCTCCTTAGAGACCAGAGGGCGACAACGTAGTGCTACTTTTACAGGAATTCTCTTCACCTCTTCCCTTATCATCGTAGCGCCTCACTCTCTCAAACTAAAACTCTCTTCGACACTCTTCCTGGTCTCTTGCTGCCCTGTCCCAAAGTGAGCTTTAACTGCCATCCTTCAAGTAGTTCCCAAGGCGCCAGCCAATCAGAAAGCAGACAGGTTGTGGGCGGGGCATTCTGGTTCCTGCCCAGGATGCATCAGGAGGGGAGGGCAACCTTTGAGGTTTGTATTATACTTGCATGGTAGGAAATTTCTAGTTTTCAGTACAGTGTTGTGCTTACATAATGAAATTTGAGAAGGAAGAAGAGATAGTGGTAATGCTAGGAGGGTTTTCTCCATCACCCAGAGGATAAGGATTACATGTACATACTGTAGTGCCTGACTGATCCACTATTTCATGACTGAATATTAATCATTAGCCTTTTGAGTCTGAAATTCCTGAACTTGCATTTTAATGCACATTTTTGGCTAAATACAAAATAATATATGTTCCATATAGTTACATTTTGATAATATATTCTATAATTTAGTGAGACTGAAAGTTTAGTGAGCTTGGGTTTTTAATATTTGTTTTATTTGTACATTTTTTACTTTTTAATTGTCACGTAAAAATTGTATATATTTATGGGATATGATGTTTCAATACAGGTATATATCATGGAATGCTCAATTTAGGGCAAGTATATCTGTCACCTCAAATATTTTTCATATGTATGGGCTGGCCAAGTAGCTCAGCAGATTAAAGCGTGCGGGGGCCGGGGATTCGATCCCTGGGCCTGCCATGCCGGCCCCGCCCCCAGGGCACACTGAGACAGCAATCGAGACTGGGCTTGGTGGTGTGCGCCTATAATCCCAGCACGTGGGAGGCTGTAAACAGGCGGATCACTAGGAGTCCGATCTAGTAGTGAGACTCTGAACACCCTTCCCTAAAATATATAAAAAAAAAAAATTCATTTGTAAATAATAAAAACACTTAACATTCTCCTGGAGAGAAAAAAAGAATTAATATATACTGGATCAAAGAGTAAATACTAATTGCTGAAATTTCCACCTCGGGACATGTGCAGATACAGGATAAAACTATCTGACATGAGGAAAATGGTATTACTAGAAGTGTGTGAAGTGCTTGTTCTTGGTTTTTAGTCATACACCTTCCAAACTGTTTCAGAATTGTTATTAATGTTATCTCTTATTATCTCTATAAGTATTCAGGATATTCAAGATCTATTGCTGTATGGAGCTGTGATTTTCATAAGTCATAATCCTTCTTTTTTAAATTTACATTTACTAAATGGATTAAAGGATAGTTCCTAAATTGCAAGGGTATTTTCTCCACTTAGTTAAAAGCCTTTAGAGATAGTATCCCACAGAGCCTCTAAATTATCAATAATTACTTTAATTATTGATTATCTCCTAAGTGAGGTTTTACCACCATGAATTCAATTGTTCCTTACATACTTGCATGTAGGAGTTTTATTTCCATAATCACAGCTGTGCATACCATGGGAAAGGCGGAGCCAGACATGGTGGCTGTAACCCCAGTACTTTGGAAGGGGAGGAAGATTGGTGAGTTCTAAGTCAGTCTGGGCTACATAGTGAGTTCAAGACCAGAGTGGGACCCTGTTTCAAAAACAAGAAAGGAAAGGAAAAAAGAAAACAAAAAAAGAGTTGATAAAGCCATGGCTGTGCTGTTCTGAGCTGGTTTAACAAAACACAAGGCGATACAAATTAGGAATATTTATGTCATTGAGTTTAACTTTATATACTTTGGAATTAGTCTGTAGAGAAGAACTTCAAGCCAAGTAGCAAGCACACTAAGAGAGAATCAAGGTGTTGAGTATTGATGTTTTATGGAGGATCAAATAATGCTCACAGTTGGAAGTTATCCACAAAGCACCTGTGGAAACATTTGAACTTAGAGAAGAAGCAGTGTCTGGTGGTGTTATAGATAGGATAATACAGGTGATGTTCTAATTAGTTAAAATAAAGTGCAATTGACTCAGACTTTTTTCAGATTTAGGCCAAACAAATCTATTTCTCCTTGCAGAAGTCTATAAGGGCAGAAAAAGCAATATCAACAAGGTCAACAAGAAATGTGTTCAATGGTGTGATTTGAAAAGTTAAGCACAATTATTATATGTCAGAGTCTTTATTATATGAAAATGATACATATTACAATTAAATTTGAAA